GCTTCTGCGTGTGGGTCCTGCCCCACAGTCACACACACCACTCCAACCATGATGTTCGGTGCTCACAGATTTCTCTCGCTTTCCCACTACTGTATTTGAATTTGGTTTTATGTCAACTTGGCAATGCTGGCACCTACCCTGGAATGATGCAAGCAAAATTAGGTTCTGCACAAAGAGGTAAGCATGGACCAATCCTACCCTGCTTTTCCAAGAAGGTGACACTCTTCTTACTGTCAAAATTCTACATTTCAATTAGCAAAGGTGACCCTTAACACACAAAACTTTCAGGCTCCTGAAAAATCACCAGTGAAAAGCACAAGCACTTAGCATTTCCAAGAATCAGGCTAATTTTACAACAGACTGAAGGTCTGGACCTGGCACTAAAACAGGTCTTGCTATCCAAATGCAGTATTAGTCTTTTGTAAAGAATTTGTACTGTCTTTATCCAATTTCCATTCTTAACTATGGCTCTCAGTGAAATTTGTTCAAACTCCCCCAGCTTTTTTTCTGCCAGACACTCCTTCTAAACAGAAGGATTATTAAATTCACATTCCAAATCTTTCTCCAAAGTTACAACTGCTTTCCTCTTTTGAAGTGCAATTCTCTTCTGCAAAGTAAAGGAAAAAGAAAGTGTTTATGAAGGTTGAATTTGGATTGTTTCTCCAAAGTCTTGCATAGCAAGATTACAGTACTCACAACCTACAGGAACCCTGCCTGGCTATGAGGATCTGATAGTGATATCCAAGACCATTGGTAACAATGATCTCTGTTCTCACCTACAGGAGCATTATTGCCAGACATCTTTGCTGAGCTTTGCATAGCACCATTGTCAAAACTACAAGGAGCAATTGCATTTACTCTTTCTTCCCCTAGCTGCCTAGGTGCTGCAACTCTAACAAGTACCTGTGACAATACAAAACTTGTTTTTGTCCCCAAAGCAGGCAAGCACTGTGCAGAGGCCACTCAAGAACTAGCCTGGTGACTCACACTGGTGACTCAGGACCGGTTATTCCCATGGAGTTAACTCTCAGTATAACACAAATCTTGCCCCTAACTCAAATTCTGGGTTACATTTTCAACTCATCTGCAAAGATACTTTTAAGCTTGGCCTGACAAACTACTCAGGACCCCAACTTCAGCTCAAGGTCTGTGGCCTTTTTGGCTGGCTTTTCACATCCTGCTGGCCACATACTTGCCTTGCAACAGGACTGCACTCACACCAGTTAAACTAAACTAAAGACAACATGAGGATTCTACACGTGTTAACTTTCCTCTGAGAGCAGGTATGTGAGGCACTGTTTCTCTAATCCCATTCCTCAGAATGCTAAGCTGCTGAGCTTTTGTTTTTGTTCAAACTCCCTCCAATCTCTATAAAGAAAGCCTCTCCACCATCTGTATTAACAGCCCCCCCAAATTCCATGCTGCCCCTGAACACCCACAAATGATGTGTCTCTCTTGCAGGTCTTGGTGCACTGGGTGAAAAAGCCATCATGCTCCATCACTCCCATTACCACTTGTCATCTAACCGCTTACATAAGCCTGTGACCTCTGAAATAAAAACATTTACTTGCACTTGGGTAGAGGTGGTTGGTTGGAAGAGAACTTGGAGAAGGAAATAATTGGAAAAGCAGTCACAGAAGCAAGCTTCCAGAATGTGTCTTTTTGCTTTTCCTTTCAACTTTGCCATTTCCTCTAGTCAACCACTGCATCCCCATCAAACAAAAAAATTCCAACCAGCAAAATGAATTTGTTTAACATTTTCACATGTCCTCCAGCACACAGGACTCCTATAGCTCATGAGACCACCTAAAGTTTTGCTAAGCACAGATCAAGAGGACATAAGTAACTGGAAAAAAGAATTCACATTATGTTGTGCACATAAATTTAAATTTGCTACTAAATGTATAAATAGGTCTAGAGAACTGGGTATTTCTAACGTGCCAATTATCTTTGTACTGTCGTACCCCACTCGTTATCAAAAATAGCTTCACTTCAGACCAAAAAAGTAATTTTCTTCTTGTATGTGGCTTTCTCAAATGGGTTTATTTTCACTTGCAGTAGAAGGGATGTTTTAACCAACCTTCAATGTGATTTTTGGAAAATACAGTACCCCCCAAAGGCAGCTTGTGCATATTAAACCATGAGCATCTGTTTGGGTCTATGGGAGTATTTAGGCTGGTGACAAGCACTTTGCAAAGTGACAAAGTGAGCTCAGCTGCATGAGCCAGGCCAGGAAAGACCTACAATCTATCCTGACCACTCAAATTTTGATGCAAGAAGATTGATAGGCTCAACCATTCACAAAAGTATTCCTGATCGCAGAGACTGTAAAAAATGTTTTTGTAGAATTCAGATGCCAAAATCATTGGGATGCACATGTGGACACGGGAAAGGGTAACATTTCCTTCTGGGTCAGCCATAGAGGAGCTCTGGAGCAGAGGTTGTGGCTTTATTTAAAAAAATCCTTCCGTCAGACAGCAATTTATCCCATCACAAGAGTAATTTTGTGAAAGGAGTGCACACTTCTGCACTCATAAAAAATGTCCTAAGTTAAACCAGCCTCTGGAACCCCATCTGGCATTTTGGTGGTGGTTCTCTTTCCCAGACCTGCGTACTGTGAGAAGCTGAATTTGGGAAATATACACCAGCACTCAGTTGCCATACACAGTTTTTGAGCTCCAGAGGAAAATACACACTGTTGCTGCTGCCCCTCAGAAATACAAGAGGAAAAAAATATCCCAGTATATATCTTACTTGGTTCTAAGGTGGGAGGCCTGACTTTCATGACCTATTTATCATTTTGGTCCTTGGACCAGGGGGTCAGCGTTCAGTAACGTAACAACTACCAGGCTACAGAGCTGTGACATTTTTATGTGACCCAGGAGTCCTCCTCCAAAAAGTCCTGAATTCTTTTAAATGTGGGAGTCTCAAAAGAAGCCTGGAACTCCTCCACAGGAGCCAAGTGCATCAGTGCCCTGACATATCACTGGCTGCCACTGCAGGGACAATGCCTTTGGTCAGGAAGAGGCATTGCCATCAAAGGAAGGTGGCAGGCCTGAAATTCCTCAGCCTTCCTCTCCAAAACACAAGTTTGCAGAAACCACTTTGCAACCACGGGGGTACAGAGCATCCTTCCAACAGATGGGATATGTCAGTTAGGCTTTTCTCTGGAGAGGAGAGTTTAGCACTCTCACCTATCCATTTTCCACCCAAATGATCAGTCCTTGACCTGCCACGGGGACAGGCACAGAAGCACCCTCTGACAAGAAAGACAAAATCAGTGTAAACCTCAAGACAGCAGACTGAAATATGAATGTCCATCTCAAAATAGCACTTTCTGGAAGATATCTCTTTCATCCGTCATTTCCCCTTCCCTTCCTCACTGCTCCCTGCTTAGGATGCTGCCTGTGCAGTGTCCCTAACACAGAAGTAGCACACAGTAGAGACTTGGTGCCTAAATTTGGGGATTATGCTACTCAGTAGAGGCCAAAGGTTCAGAAATAAATCCAAATCACAGAGCTTGATTCTAATGTCTTTGAATGTTCAAAATACCACTTTTGAGAGGAACACATACCTGTGTCCACAGCTTCCTCTAACAATGGGATTAGGTTCTCCTTTCTGATCCATCTTTGGTTTTTTTAATCATCAAGTTAGCAAAGTTGATAAAATTGTAGGGGACATCACAATATTTTGTGACAGTTTGGGATGGCTTGTGAATCATCCACCAGCTATAACTGGAATGTAATACAAGCCATTGTAATGCTTTATGAAGAAAGTGCGTGTTGCTATCTTGCGACAACCATATGTTCCTCTGTTTGTATCTATCTGTTATCCAACACTTACATAAGCCGTTGATGAAATTATCATCACAGGACAAGCACACTTGTAGCATGGTTGAGTTGATCACAATAAAGTAATGAAGGAATGAAGGAGCTTTATGCTGAGGTGGGACTGGCTGCCCGCCTTCGCAAGCCACAGCTGCAGATGAGGCAGCTGCTCAACAGCCATCACTCTGGAGACGACACGAATGCAGATATTTGGGGCTTGGGCTATACGTCCTTTTGGGAAACGGCAAAGTAAATGTGCTTTCTCTGGTGCAGAGGAGTGTGAAGGGTTGGGGAGGGGAGTTGAGGGAAAGGCTGGGAGGAGATTGCTTTAATGGTTTACGGAACCCGTGAGATGTTACTTGCACACACAGAGGCACTCGCCCGCCTCAGACTGCAGCAGGGGCAGCAGGGGCCGGGACAGCCCAGGATTGCCGCACCGTAGAACGCACCGTCGGCATTCAAGCGCCATCCCCGGGGACCGCTCCCAGTCCCCGACTGTCCTCCGTGCCCATCGGGCACTACCAGTGTCTGTCCCGGGCACCAGCCCCCATTCGGGAAAACCAGCGGGCAGGTTGGCACGGCACGGCTGCATCCCGGTGCCGCTCCCAGTGCTGCTCCCGGTGCCGCAGACGGGCCGGGCCGAGCCGCAGCCCCGGGTCCGGGGCGGTCTGTGCCGGGCTCCGAGGGCCATGTGCCGAGTACTACGGGCACAGACTCCACCTTCCCCGGCTCCCGCCCGCCCCCACGCATCCAGGAAGGGAAAAAGAGGAGGAGGAGGAGGAGGAGGAGGAGGGAAGGGGGTGAAAGGGAAGGAAAAAAAAAAAAAAAAAGGAGAGGTTGAAAGGAGGGAGCTCGCCGAGACCCACCCTTCTCCCTCCTCCTCCGGGCTGCTGGCCGGGCTTTTGTTTTCCTCCAGCGCCCCGTTTCCCACACGTGATTGCCGTGTTATTGCACAGGGCGCTCGGCGGCGCGGCTGCTGCACCTATAAATACGGAGCGGGCGGGCGGCGGGGGCCCGGGGCAGCGCGGCGCGGCCGGGCGGAGCGCACCCCCCGACACCCCCATGCACCCCGCCGGCACCGCGGCGCCCATGCCCCGCCGCCCGCCCGCCTGACGGGCCGGCAGCGAGAGGCAGCGCCCGGCCAGCGGCGAGGGGAGGGGGAGCCGGCCGACAATGGCGGCGGCCGCCACCGCCGCCAGCCCTGGCAGTCCCGCCGCCGGGCCCCTGCCGCCGCCGGCGGAGCCCTGCCCCAGGAAAGCGCCGCAGCCGCCGCCGGGGACGCCGCAGCTGCCGCCGCCGGCGCGCAGCGACCCCCGCCGCAGGCAGGCCGCGCTCTCCTTCCTCACCAGCATCTCCCTCGACGGGCGGCCCCCGCCGCCGGGCAACGACGGCCCCGCCGCCCGGCCCCGCCAGGCGCAGCCGCCGCCGCGGCTGGGCAGCCCCCCGGCGGCGCCCGCCGAGCCCCCGGAGGAGGAGGAAGATGAGGAGGAGGAGGAGGACGCCTTCGCCGCGGTGCAGGTGCCGCCCGCCGCCTTCCTGGGCGCCGCGGCGGCGGGCAGCCGCGGCCGCCTCAATTCCTTCACGGCCGGGGTGCTGCCGGTGCCCTTCGGCCGCACCAGCCCCCAGGGCAGCGTCGGAGGCAGCGGAGAGCTGGGGCAGCCCGGCCCCGCCGCCGCCTTCGAACTGCAGCGGTCCCGGTAAGCCGCGCCGCGGGGATGAGGGATGCTCGGGATGCGGGGATAAGGGATGCGCAGGATGGCGATGGGCTCGGGAAGGGCGGGCACGACCGCCGGGCGGCCGGGGGAAGCCGTGGGGAGGGAGGGAGACCCGATAGCCGCGGGGCGGGAGCCTCTCTCCTCGGGGCCGGCTCCGCTGCCGTCCGGCCGGGGGAGGGAGCAGCGGCAGCGGCGGGGATGTGCGAGCGTGCAGGGACAGGTCAGCGGAGGTGCCCGAGCCTCCCGGGCGGCAGCAGGCGGTCGGTCGGTCCCGCCTGGGTGCGAGTGGCTGAAAGTTTCTCTCCTGCTCAGCAGTGCGGGCGTGCGGCTGCACAGCCGCCGTGCCCCGCCGCAGCCCAGCCCAGCCCAGCTGCGCAGCGCTTGTCACCCTGCCCTCCCGACTGGTGGTGGATTCATCCCGCCGTGCTGCCTGTCCTTACTTATAGACAGCAGGCTGGGAACCGGCTCTGAGTCAAGTGGGCTGTAGCCCGGTCTGGTAGCCCACAAGGGGCAAGGAAATCTTCGCATCGAAATCCACGGATTACGGTGCGAACGCGTGGTTTAAGCAGCGTCTCGCTACCACCCTAAATGAGCTCTTTATCACCAAGCACTTTGTGTTCCTCTGGGTCGTTTCTTGCCGCCGGGTACTCTTTTGCCTTTTAATTCCCAAAGGAACAAGCTCACCTGCTTCAGCTCTCAAGCTGAGACTTCTGGCTAAGAAGGTGCAATCATGTAAAAATGTGTAAATGCCTGTGGATATAAAATCACCTTCCTTCACTTCCTTAACAACGTACACAGATATCAAAGACCGAGGGGGGAAGAAGCAGGGAAGAAGCTGGAGGAAATGACTGTTCTCCCCAAGCCCACATTGGCAGCCACTCCCACATTCCCCATTTGCCACACTCCCTCCTTCTTTCTCCCTTGGACAAATAGGTAGACTTTGAGTCACATGTTATTGCAAGGGTTTATAAGGGTAATTGAGCATAGATTGCTGTAGAAAAGTCCCTTTCAAAACCAACTAGCTTGGAGGAATTGGAGGTATTCCAGAAGAAAGTTATTTTAGCTGCATGCCCCACTGTTGGTTGGTTTGTTTGTTTTTTTTTTTCCCTTCCATCTAGGTTGTATTGATGGCTTTTTTGAGCCCCTTTTCAGGTGCTGTGCTAGAGGGAGCCCCACCTTCCCAAGCAGAGTACCTGTTGGTGGGTTACCACCCTTCTTCTCCTAGTCATGTGCTTCTCAAAACATTTTCTGCAGTGACAACCATTTAAATTCTCCGTGGATCACCTGCACAGCTATGTCACACTCACACACACCCCCACTCTTGTGCATTTCAGTCTGTGATGTGATTCTACCCACAGCCTTGTGCGGGAGAAGTGACCCAAAGACCATGATTTGGGAATTGCTTTTCTACTCTTGAACTTACTTAGCATTCAAGAGACTGCATTCTTCTCAACCTTCTACTTAATGAGTTTATTATTGATGCATGGTTCCAGTGTTACTTTTCTGGATTCCCAGGGATCATCCTTGATTTTCCTTTCTTGCATGCTTTGATCCTGTGCTTGGTTATGGGAAGGATGCTTAGATCTCACTGGTACCACTTCATTTAGCCCTTCCTCTTCCAGTTATTTTTTCCCATGCACCTTTTTGCTCACTTTCTGAACATTTTCTTCCACAACCTATGTGGGTTGGGTTTTTTGTTGTTTGTTTTGCTTTTTGCGTTTTTTTTTCTATTACATGAGGGCAGAGTGGATTTTAAGAGGGAAAGGTAATTACTGTTCTTGTTTACAACCTAGAAATCCAGAGTCTTGCAAGTTCAGCTTTGCTGCTCGTATGCAAACTAACTGAATGGATAGCCCAAATCCATGGCAAGGGAAATCACCTAAGGAAACCTTTCCAGGATGCTCCTCCCATCCTATAGCGGCTGTCATTTTTGCCGTGTATTTTCTTGTGGTGCAGGCTGCAAGGAACGTGCTGGTTTTCTCATGCTGTTTTGTTTTCTTGAGAGCCAGATACAGCTGTGGTGGAGACTTTGCATTACTCCACTGACAAGTGTGAGGCTCTCCATTGTAGCACTTGCTTAAGGCTGACACTTGTGCGGGAGAGCTCTGGGTAATGTCCCCTGCCTTTGCTGCCTGTTGTGATGCTGCATGTGTGCAATCCAGGGCAGACTTTGGCCTGCCTTCAACAGATCTGTTTCTCTTCTGGAAAAGGCATATATTTTTAAACACCAGGAACGGGCAACTGCAGACTGGGGAGGTTGCACAGAACGCCAGTGCCTCATCTTCTTAATGAAAAGGTGTGGTAGGAGCTCTGATTGCTGGGTTCACCCTTGGCTGCACACAAGTTAAATCACAGGCATGCACCGGGCTGGCACAAGCTCAAGAACAGAGGGTTTGAGCAGCCCTTCTGCTGCTCTCTTAATGGAGAGGAAGGAGCCAAGTCCCCAGAACACAGCCAGCCCTTCTCAGGGTGACAGGGTGAAAGGCACAGCACCTGCCCAGGGACAGGCATTAGCTCATCTGAAGGATGATGCAGAGAGGAAAATCAGATTTTTTTGGTAGTTCACGCGTGCACCGGCTGCCTTTCCTCCCACCCTTCTGCTCTCTGTGTAGTGAGCTTGAAATTGAGTTTGAGGAGTTGTTTGACAGACTAGTCCTGTGTGCTGAGACAGGTAAGTTACAAAGTGAAACCTTTTTCTGTTACAATATCAGGCAAGACAGGTAGCCTTATGTTATTTTTATTTAGTTTTCAGAAACCATTGTGAACATGTAATCAGAGTTCCCTGGCTTTTTTGTTTGTGTTACCAGTTTGTATAATTGCATACTAGTTTATATTTAACAAGGTTATCATTAATGTGGTTTGGGTTTGTGCTCTATGTGTATTCACAAGAAACAAATGATACAAAAAAGGAACATGGAGCTTCTAGCTGCTTGGAGGCTAGTATGTAATTATATGTAAATGGCAAAAAATAGTCTTGTTCAGAAGTTGGCTGCTTGGTGCCAAAGGCTCCTGTTTTCCTGCAGAAGGAGTTTGTTTCAGTTTGTGGTAAATAAGTGGACAAGGACATGAGATTATTAGTAACTAGGTTTCTTTCATGTGATATTATAATTCATTTTAATAGCTGAATAATCTGAAATTAGTGAGGAATTCTGTGAAATCAGGTTTCAACAACATTGGTTTAAAATAATTTCACATCCTGTGGATTAGGTGATGGTCCAGGTACCTGTTTTTATGTGCGCCTATAATTCTTGTTGCCATAGTTTTCTTTGGGAAAAGTATTGCTATCTCCATATGTGAAGTTTCCTTTCCCAGTGGGCCAGGTGGTTAGAAACAAGCACATGCTTCTTTTTTTGTGTTATTTTTGGATTTTTTTCTGTTTTGATAAGGAAGCAAATTGGTGATTGGATTTGGAGTTTAAACAATGCTTAAGGTTGCATTTGTCTGTGTCACCATGTCAGATTTGAAGGCAGATGGGCAGGAAAATTCCTTCTGGGAGCAGCAGGTGCTGGGAAGCAAGGAGAGAGTATCTGCTGAGTTATCACTGGGGAGAGGTCCATTCAGAAGGACACTGAGGTTATCATGGTCCAAACAGATTTTTCTTCAGAATTTACTGACCTACAATAAATCTCACTTCCTAAGTAATTCTAAGCTTGTGAAAATTCAATTTATTTCTACCTATTAGAAAGGACAGAGTTGCATTTGGCCTCAATATTTATCTTTTGGAGACATGCAATGAAGGGAGATGCTAGAATGGTTGACTTCCTTGACTTCAGTGGGTTTGAAAAGTTTCATGGGTTGTTAGTGCTGCAGGAAGCCTCCAGGATTGTGTTTAGGGGCTGAATCCGTCCATTGGGTATTTGTGGTGGAGAGCTGAGGGGTCAGGATCCAGTTGTCCATGGCCTTGGGCAGGCAGGCAGTGCAGTTTCAGCCTACAGAGAAGATGCCTCCAAACTGAACACACAAGAGACAAAAGAAGAGTGTCTCAGAAACAAGTGTCTTACAGACAGAGTCCTGAAAGGGGAGCAGAACAAAGAGCTGGGAGCACTTTCCACCCGGTGGGGTCATCTCAGCATCAAGAGGTAGCCTGTGAGTCACTGAAAGCTCATCAGCCCTTTTGTGTGTGATGGACACTCTGCTATTCACTGAACCTAAAGCCCTTTGGGCAGCATGGATTTCAGAATGACGTATACAAGCATAGCATGAAGACAGCAATTTGATGGTCTGAGAAGTCAATGGGAAGTGCACATGCTAAACTAAGGCTTTTCTTAGGTGTGCGACCTTGTATACCACTGATAGCTGCTGGCTCTAAAGAAGGGGATGCTTATTGACCTCAGTTGTCACTTCAGGAGGCTAAATTCCTGTGCCACCCTGAAGGGGGAGTGTTCAGCAGCAGGGTTAAGACTCGGGTAATAAGGGCTGTTTCAGTAGTAGCACACAGTGTGTGAGCTCCTCTGTGAGTCCTGTAAGGAGGGCTGGGTGCACCCTTCAGCACGAGCACGCTGAGAGGCTGGGTCCTTTCGCTCACCAAGAGCTGTGCAGGGGCAGTCACTGATGCTGCTGGGCTCGCTGAGCTGTGCTTGTGCTGAGCACAGCCTGCCCCACATCACACAGACCAGCTTTCACCACCACTGGTCTCTGCCAGACATTTCCCTTATTCAGGGCACAGATGTTTGTGCCTGCCTCTGGTACTTCCTTTGAAACTGGTGGAAATGGGAAGATCTTCCAGTGTTAGTTGGAGTTGACCAGTGGTTGAGAAGTCATTGGAATATGACACAGATAGATGGGCAGCAGCCTTGTTCCCTTAGTACACAAGCTTTTAAAAACAAATCCCACAGAAATTTGCTCTGGCATATTATAGGCTCTTATTATACTATTTAGTGAGCATCTCTGGCAGATAAAAAAGGTTAATATTCTTCAGACAAGGAAAAAAACCCTTTGCTGTCAATTCTGAAGAGCAGAACAGTGGGACAGAACATGGTGGT